CATTTTTCACCTATTGATTCGCAAACATCAGAAACTTTGATAATATATAGAATATGTTGGGGAGTGTGTGAAGGAACAAGCACTCTTTTGCTTGCTGGTGCAACCTCTGAGGAGGACGATCAGAAATCCAAATTGCAAATACACACACCTCTTATCTAGCAATGTCATTTTTACGAATTTGCCCTTTGGATATACTCACACATTTGAAAAATGACTTATGTAAAATGATACTCATTTCAGTAATGCTCGTGATAGCAAAAGATTGGAAAGAACCTAAATGTTCATCCGTAGAGGGGCTGTCTAAATAATGGTCAACTAAAGGAATCCCATGAGGCCTAAACCATAATGATAAAGTTCATGTATTTTAACATGAACTCATCTCTAGGATATATTGTTATGTGAAGAAACACAACAGATTCATGGCACTGGTTGCTTGTGATGAGAAGAACTTTTCTTATTCTTTAAAATAATTTAATTATAGAAGATTTTGTATATTTTTCTTAAAGTGTCAGAACGTTCTTTAAATTACTAAAACAATTCAATTTTTGTCTTGGTTATTCATTCCATAGAATTAACAGTATAAGAAAGCATTTCATTACTGCTAAGCTCCTCATTATTAGTTCTATTGCCTATTTTATTTGTTATGGCCATTGGTCTTGAGTGGGCATCTCAGTCTAGCCAGGCCAGTTAACAGTCCATCCTAGAAATTTCAACTTGGGACTGACTGACAATCAGTTCCTTTCAAAGTTCAGAAACAGTCAGTGGCCACATTTTCTGCCACTTAACCAGAAAAATGGAAAAACCCACTTATAAAAGAGAGAATGAAGATGTGCAGAGAAGCTGAGCCCAGAGTTAGGAAGCTGAGTGCTCAGTCCTAGCTCTTGAGTTCAGTCACATCCTTGTCCTCGAGTCCAGTGAGACAAGTCAGACACCTTATAATAAATTCCCGCTTACATGCTGGTTCAAACTGAGTTTCTGATACCTGCACCCAAGTCAGTCCCGATCCCACTGCATATGGCAACTGACCACAGCCTACCTTGCTAGCTTCATTTCTCAGTGTGCTGACCACACGTCCACATACCTACGCTGGCCCTTTAGCCATTCTCTCCAAATTCAATTCTACTCGAGTCTTGTGGTGCATTCACCTGGGATGCCTTCCTCCCCGTGTGACATGGAGAATGCCTCACATCTACCTCAAGATGCAGCGTAAAAGTCCCTCCATTGGGTGGCTTTTTGATGCTCCCCTGCATCCAAGCCAAAGACCACTCCATTCTCTGTGCTCATTGTCCTTTGTATTATATATGCTTCTTTGATTACATTTATCACATACTGTAGAATTCCTATTTGCTTATATATTTTGTAAGTTCTTCAAGGACAGAGTCTTATTCATGTATGTAGCTCTACTGCCCAACACAACTGGAGAACACATGGCAGGTACTTGATAAACAATTGATAAATCAGGCTATTCCAACAAGTCAAGTGACTTAGCCCTTGCCACACAGCCTCTGGCAAATTTGCCCCCAAAAGACACGACCAACTTATTGCCTTAATATCTAAGGGAGCAGTCTTTCATGAATAATGTAATTTTGTATTTGAACACAAGAGTAACTTGTATGTGAAATAAACTGACCAATGGAAGCAGTATCAACTTCAGAGGCCCCAAAGTCCCAATCCTCTAGGGCCTAAATCAGTAATTGCAATCTTATACCTGAGATGTATGTCATCTTTTCTTTGTCATAATTCTCAGTTATTTATTCTGCTAAATCCTTTACTTCTAAATACATGTCAACCACTCTTATAGTATCTACCATTTCACTGAAGCATTCTTAAACAAGTTGGAATACTAAATCACACAAACTCAAAAGCTATCCTATCAGCTAACTTTAATAGTAACCTCAAATGTATAAAGGAAACTAAATTTCCAATGCGTGGGATTTTATTTGTTCTTGTCAAAAATGTTATATATTATCTGGAAACCAGGGGGAAAAAAGGGGATTCTTTGTTTTATTTTATACTCCACCCAGTAACCACAGGAAATAAAACACAAATTCTTCGTGGTAAAGCTGGTTTATTGAACTTAATGGAAGAAATTTAACAGTGACACTATTTCATAACAAAACTTAACTTTATCTTAGATTTCATGAGGAAACGTGTATTAGCAATATCCTTTCAATAAAGCATTGTCATTAATAGCTTACTACATTAGATTCTGGAGTAGTTTCCTTTGGTGTTCTCAAATTAAGACCTTTCCAAAACATATTTGATATTTTCCATTAAAGGTCATAGTTAAAACAAATTCACACAGATTTACAAAATGTGTGATTTGTGCTTTAAATACTAATAATTAGCTGTTAATCACCATTTTGGAAGTGATTTGTCAACAGTTAATGAAATATTTTAT